GTCAAACAAATATTTTTAATTTTTTTAAAATTATTTTTATCCACCAATGATAAAATTATGCAAAATTAATAAAAATTACATGATTAATTTTTTAAAACTAATTTTACATGATCATCATCCAAACACATAATAAAAATTAATTTGGTAAAAAAAAAAATGTCTAAAAGATTTATCAATTTTACATAATTTTATTTTTAGTAGGTAGAAATAATTTTTAAAAATTCAAAAATATTTGTTTGACATTTATTTTTTTTCAAATTAGTTTAAATTTTATTAAATTGACAATTTTACCCTTGAAAAATCTAATTATATATTCAATTGTCCTTATTTGAAACAAGATTCAAAATTCAGGGTCAAATGTGTTACAATTGAAAAGTCAGGGACCAAAGTGACACAAGCCCCAAACTATATGGACTATTTGTGTAATTTGCCTTTTTATCAACAAATCAACATACTTAATTGAGAAGAAAAACCTCTAAAACTCGATCAACGGTCACAAATCTCAATGAAACTCTCGTTTAATTGAGAGTGTTGATCGTCGGCGGCGAGATCGTCTATTGTTGACCAAGTGAGAGATCTTCGGCTGCGAGATCTTCAGATTTGAAGATCGTTTTCATTGATTTCGTTTCTGATTTCATTCCTGCGAGATCTTCAGCTCAGATTTCAAATATTTCAAATGTATGATATGTATATATAGAAGGGTAATATTGTGATAAAAAAAAATAGAAATTATAAATGTCCTTATTAAGGTAGACATTTCCTATTCAGGGGCTTTTTGAAAAAAAATTGAGTGGGTTATCCTTTACCCTAATAAAAAGTCCCAAAATGGGTGTTTCACCAAAAATTCCATTGAAAAATCAAGGACCAAAGTGACACGAGCCCCAAATTGTAGGGACCGTTAGTGTAATTTGCCCTAAAAGTTATATCAAACAGTTTGACACAAACTCCCAAATTAAAATAAATTCTAATCACTTCTTTTAAATTATAATAACCACTACATTATATATTGTTAGAAATGGTTTAGAAATTCTGGGTAAAAACATAATTTTTACTCAACTTTGGTTTAATTTTTAGGTGGGACCCATGCATCGATTTTGGTGGATCGAAGTGGTAATGCGTTCTATGCTGCGTTGTGATTCACGTAGTATATTTGGTTGCTTAAAACCATTATCGGGTGAATGGGAATTTGAAGCCAAGAGAGCTTCATGGAAATGAAATTTTGGTGGAAAATCCTTAAGGTGTATATAATGGCTTGTCCCACATTGATTTGGTGGGAAGTTTTGAATGGCCTTATAAGATATGAGATTGGAACTTGGGGTGTGCCCCAAGGGGTATCCAAGTTTTGTAAAGAATGAGGTTATGGGCTAGACCCAGTGGACCCAAAAATAACCACATGCGCGCCGCCGTCCGTCCGGTCGGCCGGGCTGGGTGTGGGTGCGTGGTGTGAGGTTGGGTTGGGCTTGTCCAGCCAAAAACATTTGAATTCAATTTTATTTTTTGGTAAAATAAAATTTGTCCAATTTAAATATCAATTTTTTGAATTCAAAATTGGGTTCGTTTTTCTCCCACCCGAACAAAATTGAATCTGTTTAAAATTCAGAAAACCCGAAGAGATTTAAATATGTGCAAAACAGTTTTTATCTGTTTGAATCTTGAACCCAACAGATTTAAATCTGTTCATTCAAAACCAAACAGGTTTCATACCTGTTCAAAACAGGTTTGCACTTGTTTAATTCGAAACCAGTAGCCACCAATCCATCTATAAATAGGTAGCCCTCATTTAATGATTTCATTCAATAATTTCGTCCTAATTATTGTCTGCCTTCTCTGCATTTTTGCTGCATTATTTTCCATTCGACAAAGAGTGTAAACACTTTGTATGTTCGTTGTAGTACTGCATATTGTAGTGTTGCATTTATTCGTTAATAAATCATTTTATCCTGAGAGATAGACGTCCATATTCTAAAAGTACCGTAGAGAGGACGAATCTGTCTTAAGTACATAGTGTCGAACACTGGACTTGATCAGAATATTATTCAACAAATTAATCAAGTAAGTTGGTTATTTATTTTCTGTTTTATTTATTTATTTAAATCAAATTTTGATTTTATTTTTTGTAACAAAATAAAAATATGTTTTTATTTATTTTATTTTATTTTTTTGGTTTGATTTTTGTAATCAAACGAATTCTCTCATTTCCTTTATTTCTTTTATATTTTAGTTGCTGTTAAGTACACAACAAAATTTAATAAATTAAATACAGCGAAGATTGTTCAACATATATTTCTACTAGGGATGACAATTTAAACCCGGCCCGACGAGGACTCGGACCGCCCCATCTCGATATATAGGGTTTTTCTTGAAAATTATTCCTCATAAGGCTAGAGCTGGTATTAAAAAACACATCCCTGATGATTTTCGGGCCGGGAACAGTGATAGATTCTCGGCCTCGACCCCGGCCCGGCCCCGCCCCGCAATTTTCCCGAACCATCCCCGTTGCCCTCGTATATATATATATATATAATATGTGTGTGTTTAGTGTGTTTAGAATATATATAATACAATATAATATAATATAATATAAAGAAAAAGATAAGATGAAAAGCGCTACGCACCTCTTAGTGGCAAAAGCCTATCCTTTTTATAGTGATATTCTCTCCCTAAAGCGAAGAAAGCTCGGCGCCATCCCGCTACTGTCTAGCTGCCATACCGCTGAGCGAGGGCAATAACTTTAGTAAAGCAAAGACTAAGACCTTCGTCGAAAAGAGTCATTCCCTTCTTCCTAGTCATAGGCGAGGGAAAAAGAGGTCGAGCTGGAGGGAGCCTTCTTCATATGTGGGATTGATTTGGAGAATATAAGCCCGTCCACTGCCCTGCTATGAGTTGACAGTCTCAGAGGCAGTCTTCCTCGCATTTACTCGACTTACTTCGCAACTTAAGAACTAGCTCAATCTGAACCGATTAGTCTGCTATTCAAGTCTTCTCCTTAATCCCGGAAGGCAGAAGGAGGATTAGATCTCGGTGTGCTACCCCTGGCCAAAATTACACCCTTATGTGTTGGTGAGTGTGTTTAGAATATATTATAATATATATGTGTTTGGTGTGTTTGGTGAGTTTATCCATTCAGAATTTCAAATCCTCAACTCTTCCTCTCTCTCGGCTTCTCTTTCTCTCTCTAAAAGCCTCCCTTTTCCACCGTTGTCCTCCTCTCCTTCCTCCGATGCTATCCTCCTCTTCCTCACCACCGATTTCCATCCCTCCACTGTAGGATCTACAAAGATCTACAAAGAAAGTGGTGTCTTTGGTCTTTCGCAACGTAGAGAGCATTTTAAAGATCTATAAAGAAAGTGGTGTCTTTGATCTACAAAGAAAGCATTTCAAAATCTATTTGTGGTGTTGTTTTATATTGGTCTTTGAATGTCTCTCTCTCTCTCTGAGTTTCTTTATAATCATCATATACAAACAGCCCCCTTTTGGAAGTTGCCATTCCTAGAATGTCTCTCTCTTTCTATCTAGATCTTGGTTAGAGATGAAGAACAAGCAAAATTGACTGGTAGATAGAAAGAGGTTGACTAGTATATATATTAATTTTGATGGTGTTAATCTGAACAAATCATTGTAATTTATTTATTTTTGCAGTGCTTCTACTTGCAATGCTTCTACCATTTGATTTTTTCCCTTCTTGCCGTTGTTTTTTTGAGGTGATTCTTTCCCCTCTTGCTGTTATTTCTTTGGTTTTTTTTTTTTTGGGTCGGGGAATTTTCGGGGCCGGGAAACCCGATCCCCGTCAGGGGGCGGGGGCTGTGATAGGTATCCCGTCGGAAATCGGGGCCGAGGACGGAGAAATTTTTATCATTGAGAATCGGGGATAGGGAGTGTGATCCCCTGTCCCACTTCGGCTTGTTGCCATCCCTAATTTCCACAAACATAGAACGTATGTTAAATAATTATACAAACATAGAATACATGGATCATAACATCCACATGTTACATTTTTATATTCAAGCTATCTCCTTCATTTGTTAAAAAAAAAAAAAGAAGTTATGCCCTTCGTTACACCTAACTTGATTACATTAGAATTACACCTTACTTGATTACATTACAGAGATAAGGAAGTGTCTTCTCTACAATTCAACAGTTAGTTAGAGAGGTATTGTTGAGCCTGTTACGTTCACCTTGGGATATATTTTTATAATTCAAATAATTTATTTTATAAATTATATTAAAAAGATCACACGTGTAAATTTTAATCCTTTCTTATTTATTTCATTTGCTCCAAAATAATGATCCCTTTTAGGGAATTTAATTTTTTTTGGTAGTACAATTATTACACTTTAAAAAAATTAATTTTTTAAAATTATCCTTTTGATAGTATATTTTTTGGAAATATCAATGTCATAATTGTACTTTTTATATTATTTATTAATTTAAAAGAAGGACAAAATAGAAAATTTATATTATTTTTGTACTTCATTTTTGAAGAGGGACTAATATTTTGGGACAATAAAAAATAGAATAAGAGACTAATATTTTGAGACGAAGGGAGTAATAATATTATTCATTATTATATTTATATATTATATTTTATTTAACATTTTATATATCAATATGAATATAATATAACTTATCTATATATTATATAAATAAAAGAAAATTTTTAACCCATAAAGTTTCTAAAAACTCTAAATTCTCAATCTAAATTTCATAATTTTTTGATTTTTAAAAATGAAAAAAAATCTTCTATTGACTAACTCTTATTCAAGCAAAACAATAAAATAAAAATAAAAATTAAAATCCCTTTATTTGTACTTTCAAATGAAAAGTATATCAAATCTATAAAAAATAAAAAATAAAAAAATGAAAAGCATATTAATCCATTCCAAAATTCAAATTTGAGGATCACTAAATACGTAAAGCAATCTATTAATTTAAATTTAAAATTGACACAGTTTAAATTTAGATAAAGACCCACCCGATCCCCCAAACCCGTTAATCCCTGCAACGGTCTCTCTCTCTCTCTCTCGACTCTCACGACCACCACAGCAACGACAGACCCTCTCTCTCTCTCTCTCTGCACACAAACCCACCTCCTCTGCCCTTTTTCGTCTTTTCCAAACCCACTCACCGAATCGAACGGCTCACACTCCTCCACGTCCTCGTCTTCTTCCTCGTTACCCTGCTACCTCCCACACACACACAAACTGCCTCGTCATCCTTTCTCTATCCCACTCTCTCTCTCTAGGGTTTCCAGAGGCTCGCATCAACAACAACAACAACAACAACCAGAGACGCCTCTCCCTTTCTCTCTCTTCACACAATGCTTTCTCTCTCCTCCACCACACCGCTCGATCCTCTTCTCTCTGCTCGAGTTCCGAGCCTCGCCCGTAAAATTTCTCTGCTTCAAGGTATTGTTCGATCCAATATTTCGTTAATTGTCGATATATGCATAGGTAATAAGTTTGAATGATTTCAATTTTACTTTTTTGGGTCTGTTTATTTGATTATATTTTTTTTTTTCCATTTAAATTGCATTGTTGATTGTGTATTGAGAGGCCATTTCCTTGTTTTTGTTATGTTTTTTAGGGTTTTCATTGGGTTAATTTGGTACGGTTTGGGAATTCTAATTCTGGCGGAGAAAAGATGTGTCTTGGGAATTAGTTTAATGTGTTTGGTTATGATTATGTTGAATGGCAATTGAAAAGAACAGCTTTAAGGTTTCGAGGTTTGATTCGGAGTTTTCGTCTAGGAGTAGGGACAGTATGTCGAGTGAGGACGATGAGCGTCAGAAGCCAAATTTGGCAGTCGAATCGGACGATGACGAGTTCGATGACTGTGATTCTGGGGCGGGATCAGATGACTTTGATTTGTTGGAATTGGGTGAAGTTGGGGAAGAGTTCTGTCAAGTTGGGGATCAAACTTGTAGCATACCATTTGAGTTATACGATCTTCCGGTTTTGGGTGATGTGTTGTCCATGGATGTGTGGAATGAATGTTTGACTGAGGAAGAGAGATTTAACCTCACGAAGTATCTTCCTGATATGGACCAAGAAATGTTTATGCGAACTTTGAAAGAGCTCTTTACAGGTTCCAATTTGCACTTTGGGAGTCCCATTACTAAGCTCTTTGATATGTTAAAGGGAGGATTATGTGAACCGAGGGTTGCTCTGTATTGGCAGGGTTTAAATTCTTTTCACAAGCGTCAACACTACCACCTTTTGCGGAAGCATCAGAACTCAATGGTTACTAATCTTCATCACATGAGGGATGCTTGGCTTAATTGTAGGGGATACAGTATTGAAGAGAAGCTTCAAGTGTTAAATATAGTGAACAGTCAAAAGAGTTTAATGCATGAAAATATGGAGTTGGATTCAGACTCCTCAGAAAGAGATGAATCTGGGGAAGGTTTATGGAGTAAAAGGCTCAAGCATGGTTTGAAAATGGGTCGTCATTCTATATATGGGCAAAGTCCAAACTTGGATTTTCCTACTCGGAGGAGTCCAATATTCTTGGAACAAGCAAAATTTGGAAAGCAGAACCCAAAAGGAACATTGAAGTTGGCTGGGTCAAGGACATCTTCTACAAAAGAGTTAGTGGGTCATGTTCGTTCTGTTCACCATGGTGTAGAAATGAAATTGGGTCCTTATGGTTCACCATTGCCAGCTCTTGCTCGACAAAATAAGGCTGCAGGGTATGATGTAGGGGCTGCAGTCCGGATGAGAGATCATATGAGAGGTTATGATGATACTGAAGAAACAATGTATGAAGTGGATGTCCAGAGAGATCGGAATTTTTCTCAGGTTAGTGCACTGGATAAAGCTGGGGTCTTTAAGATAGGAAAGAAACATGAAGGCTTGAGAGGTGATGAATGTACCACCGACAGTTTCATGGGTTTGTCTGGTTCTCTGAAAAATGATTTACATGCTTATGGTGGCAACAGGACTGTGAATAAGTTGTCAGATATTAAGGTCTTAACTGCGAAGCCATCTAGTGCAAGAATTTCCTCTGATTATGGCAAAAAGGTAAAGTATCCTGAGAATGTTCAGCAATTTCCAGTTGAAGAGTATATGAAGTATGGTAAAAGCGGGGCTCAGAAATTGTCACTGAAAGGAAGTTGGAATGAGTTATCAGATGGAGCTGAATCATTTTCGTATAACAAAGCACAAGGACATCCTCTCTCTGTCGATCCGTCCTGTAAATATGATAATTCGAATGTTAAAAGCAAGAAGTGGAAGATCGAGAGAGAGTCTTCTGGTCTTAAAGTTAATGATAGGTTATTTCAGTCCGACTGTAGAGCAAATCCATCACAGGACAAGGTCAGAACAATTTCTATGCAGAATGGAGGGAGAGAAACAGCTGCACTGAGGGGTAGCAGAAGGTATGCCAAAGGTGAGGAAACAGAATCAGACTCGTCAGAGCAAATTGATGAAGATGAGGATGACAATCCGTTGATGAGAAGCAAGTTGGCTTACCCATGTGGGGTCTTGGATAGTTCTTTCATGA